TTCAGTGATAAAGGTTTTCTTTATTCAGTATTATTTTTAAGGTGAGCAGGAGGACGGTAGAAACTTGTTTCCAGCCAGTAGAACAGGGTGTATTGGTTGGTCCTGAAGCCATATAGTCTATGGGGAGAAGTTAATTATTGTTCCTCCGAACTTGGTAGAGTTAGGATTCCTCATTCTGCCTCTTTCCTGCTCTGGCTAGCGTATGAGAGTTGAAGGAATAAAATGTGATCCCTTTCCCATGAAAACGTTAGCAGTTTTGAAACTTAAAGAAGTACTTGTTAAGCTCCCAGAGACAATGACTGGCATTTGCCTTTCCGTTTTATGTAAACCATAGTTAAAGTAGGAAGGCATATTGCCTGGCCTTTTGTCTGCTTCTGTGACTAAAGCAGATACCACTTAATTTGGTTATCTGTGCTACAGAGAATAGGAGGAATTTGTCATTTTGCCATTTTAATAACATACATCCTTCAGTGTTTTCATTTGTGCAAGTTCATGGTTATGTTATGAGGTTCTAGATACTATGAATTTTTTGAAAACTTTCTTTTTAAAATTATTTGAAATTTATTTGCAAAAGCATAAAGGAGAGTTTGTATTTACTTGACCAGAGACTAGGCTCAAGAGCTTATCAGTTGTACCCTTTCATCATTGTGTGTGTATGTGTGTGTGTGTGTGGGGGGGGGGGGATTTAATCCAGGATCCTTTACATATTAAGCATGCACTTCTATTACTGAGCTACATCCCCCAGTCCACTTTCCATCTTTTTAGTACCACAGAGTTTTGTGTTCATATTGATGACTTCTGATAACTAATGCTAATTTTATTTTTAATTTAAAAGATGGGGACCAACAAATGTGCCAGTCAGGCAGGCATGACAGCCTATGGGACTAGGAGGCACCTTTATGATCCCAAAATGCAAACTGACAAACCTTTTGACCAGACCACAATCAGTCTCCAGATGGGCACCAACAAAGGAGCCAGCCAGGTAAGCAATAACTTTTAATACTTATTGCAAAGAGTAAAAAAGGGTTATCTTATTTGAGAACTTGCCTTAGTAACTAAAAGCTCAAAGTAGATATATTTGGTATATTTAGAGTGTATGCATCAAGAAAGTAGATTTTGCTGGGAAAGCAACATAAAGGGCTTTTACAACAGAAAAGAAAATATGGTCTGGCTTATGTTTTTTGTTGGCAATTGAAACACCAACCTTTCTACCTAACCAGGAAAAAAAAAAAGTTATGTTTATTAGAGTTCTTGCTCAAAAATCCATGTAAAAGATTGCTCATTTAAGTGCTGGCCTTTTGTTTTGTTTTTAAAGGGTCCCTTTTAAGTTGATAGATAAAATTACCTGATGTTCTTTCTACTAAGTGCTGTTTAATTAGCATTCCTATGAAATGCTGAATAGTTCCTAAAATAGTAATAAAGTAGTTCGTAAAAATAGTAGATGGGAATGGAGCATAAGATAAAGTACTTCCTTGTTAGAAATAAATTACAGCACCTCAGATGATTCCACAAGCAACAAAATCCTCTCTCCCTGACCCCAAGATGAGACTTACTTGCCCTAAATGATACATGTTCCACCACAGTTTTTCATTGCTACCACTCAAGTGTTTGCTTTTTCACCCACTTTACATCTGAAAGTGTGTGCTTAACCTAAATGGGAAACTGAGGTATGAGTTATATTATCCTGAAAAAGATGGGGGCAAGCTGTTTTGAAGTGCTTGGCTTTTCTGTGATCCAGAGCCTTTTGAAGAGACTGAAGTCCTCAAGGTCTGCTGAAGCATAGTTTTTGTTGAATGAATTGTAAATGCTAAAAATTGGTAAGCTGGAYAGGGTATGTGGTCATAATACGCATTCAAATGTGACTTTGAGGTGTGTCAGCATTATGCTTTTGATTTTATATTCTGTTTGTCTTATCCTCTCCTGGGCCCAGAGTAGGTAGTCTTGTTTCCATTTTGCAGATGAGAACCTAAAAYTCAAAGTAAGTAAACTTAGTTGAGGCCAATAGCAATCCTATAGTAAAGCAAGGATTCAAAGGACAGTCTGAGCTTGTTTAAAAGGCAGTGAATATGGCAATAAAATAGTGATTTGACATCTAGTTTGGCAAGCTAGGTTTACCTCTGAACCAAATTAAATTTCATAATTTATAAAATATTGACAAGAATAGATTTTAGTTGCCATTTCAACTTTTAATACTATGTTCTGCTACCAGGCGGGGATGTTAGCACCAGGTACCAGAAGAGACATCTACGATCAAAAGCTGACATTACAGCCAGTGGACAACTCGACAATTTCTCTACAGATGGGTACCAACAAAGTTGCTTCCCAGAAAGGCATGAGTGTGTATGGGCTTGGGCGGCAAGTGTATGATCCCAAATACTGTGCTGCTCCGACAGAACCTGTCATTCACAATGGAAGCCAAGGCACAGGAACAAATGGGTCAGAAATCAGTGATAGTGATTATCAGGCAGAATACCCAGATGAGTACCATGGCGAGTATCAAGATGACTACCCCAGAGATTACCAGTATGGTGACCAAGGCATTGATTACTAGATTCTCGTGGAGGAGTTCAGTATTTAGTCCATTGTTTTTATTCAGTGAGAACCAAGCTAGCCTTGAGTAATTTTTATCTTGTCTTCCTAAAACACTATTATGCTTATTGTACTTTTAAAAATAAATAAAAAAAACAAAAAACTTGCCTTACATACATTCCTTTTTCTGCCTCTTCCCTAAATAGTTGCCTTTTAGTGCTGTAACAGTTAAATCCTACAGCATAACCAATAACTTGCATATGAAGTAAAAAGGAATACTGTGAAAGGGGAGTACTCTTGTACAGCCAGTTCTTTTATTAAAGATCTATACATTTTTACAATCTTACTGTATTTTCAAACAATAGGGAACCTTTTTTTTTTTTTTTTTTTTTTTTTACAGTTTAGTGTATCTGGTTTCTACATGGAAGACTTAAGTTCATGCTTATTGCTAAATGTGGTCTTTGCCAACTAAATCTAAGATGCAGCATTTTAGAAATTTACATATCATTGTTTCTACAGTATTGTTTGCTAATTTTTAAATAAAGTCATGATCAGTGTGCATTTGTGATTATATGTGTACTCATTCTCTTTTTTAAGCTGACAAGATCTTTTCAGAGTGGTGTTTCTAAAGGAGCATGTAAGAAAACGGCCTGCAGACATTTAGGTCTGAGTGGTGCGGTTGCAAAATCTTCCTTTGTGCCAATGTATCAATGTAGAGTTGCTCTGTTTTCTCCAACTGTATTTATTGCTGCATTTCTCAGCATAAACTTATCCCATTGTATTTTTTATAAATAAATATTTTTTTTGAACATTCATATGAACCACAGGCTGATTATTTTCTGGCTAGCTTCCTGATAGGCAGARTTAAATTGGGGAAAAAATATTCTCTCCCAGCTGCTGTGATAAGGTACTTTAGTTAATCCACATAACACTGCACTCCGTGCTTCAGGAGAATGAAGCTTAGAAAAATAAAGGGACCTGCCCATTGCACATAGTAAATGACTGCCAGGAAGTATCTGATCTTACTGATTTCACTGTGATTGGCAGGCGCAATTTCATCTTAAATTCAACTTGGAATAATCTTAAAATCATCTTCAGAAATTATGATGGGGGCAGGGGGGAATTTTATTATATCCTAAGGAAAATAAGAAACATTCTGGGTCAGAAACAGGATGTGTTGTTCGATAATAACCGAGGATTTATAGTCAAACCTAAACCTTCTGTCATGACAACAGTGAAATGTCAAAATGACAAGAATATAGTCACTAAAGGAAATTGGAAACTCACACTTTCTGACACTGTCCCAGCCAAGTGACTTCTGATAGAACTGGTTGTTAGGCTTGGGGGTAAAAAGTGCCTGACTATTTTTTGCTAAGGCAAATAAGGAGAGGATGTTTTGATGAATCCATAAAAGTGAAGTTTACTTGCTTGTAATTCTTAATGACCAAGTTTAATGTTTCTGAGAAACTGCTCTTCAAATCCCTTTCATAAAGGAGACTTCTAAACTAAATTAACTCAGTGCTAACAAGAAAAAAAATTGTATTTAATGTAGACCTGATCAGTCAGGCTGTTTCTTGTCATCTTTGAAGAGGCATTTAGGGAAGGGAAGGAAGCCCTACATCTTCCTACCTGCCCTGCCAACTAAATCAGTTTGAGCATCCTCTTAGGAGGGTGATTAATACTACCTAGTCATGCAACAAATGAAGCTGCTAATCAACATGTTAAGTGCTCCTATTTGTTGAAAGCTTTAAAAAGGGAAAACTCTCCCCTAACCCTATCTAAATCTCAGGTGGGGTGCAGGTATAAGTAACCCAAAAAAATCTTCCTTCAGGCAATTCTCAGGTGGGACTGCGGTTGAAAACTGCTCTTCCAGAATGTGTGCTAATTTGTAAAAGTGCCCAGTGCTTTTAACCAGCTAAGTTATATCTGGTTAAATCTCTACCTTGTCTCCTGTGTATGCCCTGTTCTAATTAAGAGTTCAAACTTTGGGTTTTTATGTCACTAATAATTATACTCTGAAAATAATCATACTCATTTCCAGGATTAGATGAGTAGGGGAAGGTCCTTCCCTGTATAAGAGCAACATTCCAGAGATTTCTGATAACATTCAGTCTTTAAATTTTTATTTACAGTTAAACCCTCATAAACTCAGATGCATGTTTACATATTGTGCCTTTTTTTATTTTATTTTTTTTTTTTGGTGTTGGGGATTGAACCCAGAGCCTTGTGAATGCGAGGCAAGAACTGTCCCCAGCCCATACATATTGTGCTTTTTAAATTGATGCATTATAAAAATAGTTTTTCTGCCCTACATGGTACAAAAAAGACTAACTTTTATGGTTACAGTATTGAAATGTAATGTGGTCAAACAAAAGCAAAAACAATGAGGAAGAATAGGGTCTGTCTGAACTTTTTATTCTGTCACTGATTCTGAAGGTCACTTCCTCCARGTACAAAGGTCTCCTGGGCTGCTATCTCACAATGGGCCCGAGTTCTGTTCCTTCTTCAGTCCTTAATGAGTCCTTGTCTCTCTGAGCCCTTGCAGTGTTAACTCTGTTGATCCTTTTCACAAAACTCTGAAAAACAAAACAGTGAGGGAGACCAGTGGATGTATCTGCACTGTTGGTAGCCATTTACTAGGTTTCTTGGCGCCCCACCCCCATACTAGGGACTGAACCCAGGTGAGCTCTTACCAGTGAGCTGTATCCCCACCTCTTTTTTATTTTATTTTTGAGATGGGCTTTCTGACTTGACTATGGCTAGCCTCGAATTCTGATCCTGCTGCCTGGAGCCTCTCAAGTTTCTGGGATTACAGGTGCTACTGGCCTGGCTCAGAGTGAATGTTTAACTGGAACAGTATAAAATTAGGGAAAGAAGACCAAGCTAGCCTCATACCATCTTCAGAAGCACTTCCTTTAGAGCTCATACAAATAAGTCAAACAAGTAAAAATTATATTTTTATGTGGATTAGAATTGAGATTAATTTAAAACTATAGAAATGCTTGTTAAACTTCAGTGCCTTTAGAACTGAGCGTTTTGAGCACCACTGAAAGCTAACCGGGCTTTAACCTAAGTTTTACGTCAACAGAAGGAAAGAAAATTTATATTAAAAGGTCACATGACCTTGACAACAAAAAGATGAGGCATTATTCGGTTGTTAAAACATCCCTGTCTACACAGGATAAGGCAAACCAGCAACAACTGTGTTGAAAAGCTGTTGGAAACAGCTGCCTGCTATTTCCAGATATAAGCGGCATGGAAGGGGGAGGTGAACAGAGGGTGTGCCTTGGTTAATAAAGGGCCTGAGGGCTGCAGATCTGTCAATATTGGCACAGAAGGTGATTAGTCTACATTGGAGCCAGCTCTCCCTAAAGCTCAGTGCATATGATGTGACTTGGGGGGATATGCAACTGCTTTAGAAAACTATCATTGCTAAACTTCCTAGACTGCCCAAGAGGCCAGTCCACACCATGAACAGGAAAGGTACATGGACTACAGCTGTGTCCAGGATACCTTCTACCCAGGTCCTTAGGTACTGTTCCTACAAGGAACCTATCCAATCCGTGTTAATTGTTGTCAGCCTCACTTTTCTCTAGGGAGAAGGTTTCAGTAAGAGAAATGGTTCAGCCTTGGAAAGCTGAGCCAAAATCTCAACTCTGGATGGACAAGCTATGGTGGCAGAAGCCCACAGAGCCCTCTGGGTGAGAACTGAGGCTTGATGAGCCTCCTTTGTATGTGAGCCTTTTGAGATTGTGAGGCTGGAGATTTCAACACAACGTGAACCGTTTGCTTACCAAAAAATCTTGGTCCATAAAGTACGGCTTTTCTGAGGATCCATCATTTGTTTCCAGATCAACAGCAAAACATAGGAAGAGTGCATCCAGCACAGTTTCAAACACAGATAAAAAACTATGAGCGACTAAGTAGGCAAAAAAGGCGACCAATAACAGGGGAATTGTCCACACCTGGAGCACACGGTTGTAGTTAAAAGCCATCAGTCCTCCAAAAACGGTGAAACACACCACCAACACCTGTTTGAAATGAGAGTTTGTTGAAAATTATAAATTGATTAGGATATTTTTGTWATGATTTTTTCCCCCAGTTCCAAGTCATCATTTCTGTGTGTGTGATTTGTGTTTAGGTGTGCCCTACTGTAAAGAGAGCTTGCCAGAAAATTTGGCAGAATGAAATAGAAAAGAAAAATGAAAGCTATGATTAGAAAAAAAAAAAAAAGGTTATTGGGAGTGGGTTGGAAGATAAATACACCAGCATTTTGTCCATGCCTAATCTTTATGCAGATGTAACAATACTCCAAATTTTTATTCTGGTTTTTCTCTTAATATCCCAATAAGCATTTCTACTTATGAGCTTTTTTTTAATAAATATAACTTTCAAACAGTGCAACGATCCACTGAGTGGATGCACTGTAATTGAACAAGTTATTAGTTTTACCCCTCACCCCAGGGATTAAAGTGGGTTTTCCAATTCTGGTGTGGAGAGATAATAGGATTATTTCAGGCTTTTATGATATGCAATTATTACATTTCTAGGCATATAATTATAGGCCATGATGTACCTAATTCATTTACTGATGTAATGGAGTCTGTCTAGGGTCCTGTTGTCCCTGGATGATCAAGGATGCCTGAATGCTACTTCACTAAAAAAAAAAACAAAGAATTGTACGCAAGCTTCCAGATTTGATCAGGATGGCAAAACAAACAAAACCCTAAAAATCACCAGATATCACATGTTTATTAAAAACTCATGGGTCATTGTATATTTCTTATGGAAAATATAAGAAGATAAATTCTAATGTAAAATAGAATGAGTCTATTAAAAAAGATGAGACCTCATTCCTAAAGTTTTTGGAAGTAGTTATAGAAACTATATAACCCACAATCCTACCAAGTCAGCATAATATAAACAGTATTATCCACTTAAATACCAAGGCTGAGTAGGGTGGCACATGACTGTAATCCCAGCTACTTGGGAGGCTGAGGCAGGTGGATCTCAAGTTTGAGGCTGGCCTTGGAAACTTAATGAGGACCTATCTCAAAAAGGGCTATCCCCAGTGCTAGCTAAAAAAACAAGCACACATACAACTGTAGAGTTCATTGTACGTAGGCTGATTTGAAAGGCATAATTATTTTGTGCTTCTATTGCTACTGTCACATGAAAGGTCTCTGAGGCCTTGCTGAGCTTTAAATATAAATGCAATTAACACCCCTGTGAAAGCCAAGCAAGTTACAACTGGTTACTGATAGGTAACTATGATGGTAACAGAGACATAACCAAATACCACAGAAGCACAAAATCTTAAATGAGGAACACAGTCCCCATATTTGACACTGGCCAGATTATAACTGGTGACCAAGACCTTGTTAACTTGTGGGCACTGCTGAAAACCAACGTATTCATGTCACATGTGGAGGGAATGGTTGGAAAATGCGCAGACTAGAGAGCTTTGCGTGGGCTAGAGAGGACTGGGCGAGTGTCTGTAGTCAAGAATCTGAACTGTAGTCAAGAGGAAGTGGAATCAGGCAACCTGAGATTGTGCAGACCCACTGAGTGAAAATTACATGGAAAGAGACATACTGTGTTGCACAGCCAGAAAAACCTAACGAAACATTGTGGTCAGGCCATGGGGGCAGGCTTGTGCCATTTTCATAATCATTTCTGTGACTCTTCCCTATAGCCCAGAACATGGGTTATCATTATGTGATACATCTGAAAACTGAACTTCTGAGTTGTGAAAGCTTCCAAGCTCAGGGCTCTGTCCTTTGCACCATAAAATTTTGGAGCTCTAAGATGTTCCTTTACTCCACAGACTATGATAAATTCCTTTTTAAAAAATTATTCAGATAACAATAGACATGTAACTTTGGCTCCAATTGTGATATTAATAATCTACCTTATTTATAGAATTATTGCTGTTAAATAACGTACAAGTTTCATCAAATCAATATTAGTTTTTGTTGTTGTTGTTTTTGTTTGTTTGTTTTGTGGCACTGGGGATTGAACTCAGGGCCTTGTGCATGCTAGGCAAGCATTCTACCAATTGAGCTATATTGCCAGCTCYCTTATTTCTGTGTTTTTATAACCCACAAAAACATACTTATTTGCTGAAGTTAGCAGCATTTTCATTTTAGACTTGAAAAAATGAGGATCAGAATGATAGAGACAATGGGTCACAGTTAAAAAAAAAGTAGCAAGAACAGAATTAAATCCTGACCCTACCAATATGGAATCCTTAGTTTCATCATCTGTAAAACAGGASTACCTTGCAGGATTGAGGAATAAATGAGACAATGAAGCACAGCATTTATTTTAAAGCAAGTATACAAGAAACATTCATTCCTTTCAGATTGCTGTATGACTTAATTTTTGGAATCCCACGTTTCTTTATTTAGTCAAGACATCTCACCTTTCCCAGAAAAATCATGAAGTCTCCAAAGCAGTTAATGGGTGTAAAATGACTTGAATTCTTGGATGCAATTTTGAGCGCATCTTTTGCTGATGTACAAAAATCTGTCCCGTTAATGGCAGTGGTAGTATAAGCATTCTGAAACAGAAGACAACAGTAAAAAATATAATGATTCATTAAAATATTGTTGTAAAGACAGTAGAGTGATAACACAGAATACGGGCGAAGTACAGAAAGATGGTGACTATGAAGCCATTATCTTTACCCATAACAAATCCGTTCATTTTCAAAGTCACTTTCAGTTTCTGATGGTGTTCGAAAAATATTTTCATATAGTTGCAATAAATGGAAAAGATAAAATATGGTCCATACGGTGGGTTAAACATCCCATGACAAACGTAGAAATGATGGATAAAGCATAAATTACTCTTCAGGGCACAGCACAGTATGAGGACAGGAAAGGAAGTGGAGGTTCCAGAAAGACTTCTGGGACTATTTTTCACAATACCTTTCCCTTATGGCTCTATGTAATTTCAAGACCATTTTCTCCTTAATCTTTCAAAATGCTACCTGGTACTGCAGTTCACGGTAAGAATTATCACTTTCCTGGGAAAACACACAAGGTTACTACACATGCCTCGGTGGTTGACATTTCTTTAAAGAATAAAGGGTTTTTTAGCCCATGGTCTACAAATTGACACTTTGGAACACCCTTCCAGAACCTCATAAGGAAACCATTTTGGAGTCCACTGCTGTTTTCCAGCTTCTAGTGGAAAAGATCCAGGAAAAAAAAAAAAAAAAAGCAGAAGAGGAAATGGGAGAGGTGTAACTAGTAGGGATGAAGGAAATAGAACTAATTGCCCCAATTTACCAAATTCTCTCTTCACCACAGCAACTGGAGAAGAATGTTTGGTTCTCAAAGGCAAAAGGCTGGTGACCAGTTTCCCCCACAAGCTGCCTAGGCTATCCTGGAACTTGAGAATCCTCCTGCCTCAGCTGGAATTTGAGTTGCTGGAATTTCAGGTGTGCACCACCATGTCTGAACACTTAATTTAACTAAACATCTTCAACCATCTAAGATTCTTTGAGTCCTGATGACTTATTCATTAGTCCTCAAAACACCAGGAGTGGTGGTACATGCCTGGAATCCCAGCTACTCTGGAGGCTGAGGCAGGAGAATCCCAAGTTCCAGGACAGCCCGGGCAACTTAGTGAGTCTCAAAATCAAATAAAAAAGGCTGGGGACATAGTTCATGTGGGGAGCTTGCCTAGCATGTGTGAAGCCCTGGGTTCAATCCCCAGTACTGCAAAACAGACAACAACACAATAACAACACACACAGGCATGCATACACACGYGAGGGGTGGGTGGGTGAAGAGTGGCATATTTATTCTTTTATAGACTAGAAACCAAGATCAAGGGCATTTTCCTCAGATCCCTAGTGAATCAGTGAGACAGAGAACTTTTATTATTGTTGTTATTATTCTAACCTTTTGGATATTACACTGGCAGTTTTCATTAGGCCAAAATGCTATTAAAAGTGTGGTGGCTGAGGTGAGCATAGSCTCTGGAACCAGACTGTCTCTGGGTTTCAAGCCCAGTGAGGAGTTGCTGGTCTTGGGCCAGTGATTCAACCTCTCTGAGATCTCCTTTTCCTGGTCTATAAAGGGAGGGAGAGCACCTACTGCACAGAGACGCCAGGAGGATTAAAGGACATATTTGCTCCCTATAAAGTGTTCAGCAAAGCACCCGGCAATGGAAAGCAAGCAATAAAGGCTGTAATTAGCTCGCGATCTCACCAGAGATGACCTCACCTACAACAGCGACACAGAGCAACTCCCTGCACCCCTGGGGAGGTGTGGGATGGACCCGGGTTTCCTCTCTCCTCAGCCTTGAGTCCCTCACACTCCCAGATCCAGGACGGTAGTGCCAGTGTGGTCACCATGCCACAAGCCTCTTGCCTCCTGTCTTTTCACTCAAGCTCTGTCCCCAGCCCCTCAACCCCCTCACATTCCCCCTCTACACTGAAGTCCTCAGTGTACTTCCTGAGCCCTGTGGGCACTGCAGTTTGTCGGGGAGCTTCTTTTTCCTGAAGCCCACTGCCTTATAATCAATTTAGGACCATTGCTCATGAGCAATAAAAATAGATTTTGCTCCTTGGCTAACAGGATTAAAGGTTAAAGTGGTAGTTTCTCATGCATGTGTTGACTCCACAGATTTTTGGGGACCCATAACCATTTATCTTTCCTTTAATGTCTCATGTGCCACTGAAAGATGACATTAAAACCACTCTGACAGGGAAATTATATGTGCCTTCCTGCAGTTACYACACCACCGGCATTTTAACACAGGATTCAACCCTGAGTGCCACAGAGAGACCTAGAATTAATGTCTGCATGAATAGGTGGAGGAGGGAAGGCTCACTCAAGGCAGGATATAGCCTGAATGTTTCTGCCAGCTCAGCATTAGCTAATTCGTACTTATTCGGAGGAGAAGCTGCTTCCTTATCAGACAGCTGGAAGATGAATTGTGCTGAAGTTTCCATATTGTTGATCTGTTCAGAGAGTGTGTATGTGCCTGGGCTGTAGACCCCCGGGGGGGTTTATGTGTGAGTCATCTGCAGAGCCTGACAGTGCCTGGAAGGAACTGGCCGTGGTGAGGATTAGGAAGCACACGGTGTTGTGATGAAAGTTAATCGGGAGACCCCAAGGCTCATCTTCAAGCAAGGAGGCAAGATCAGTGGTGATCTCTGGCTTCCAATGTATTACCACACACAATTCGGTGGGTATGCTTCTTTAGCATCTCAGAACAGGTGGATAGCCTGGCATGGTGGCACATGTCTGTGATCCCAGCTACTGGGGAGGCTGAGGCAGGAGGATCAGAAATTTGAGTCCAGCCTGGAAAACTCAGTGAGATATTGTCTCAAAATAAAAGGATAAAAAGGGCTGGGGATGTAGCTCAGTGGTAGAAAACCCCAGGGTTTTAATCCCTATTACCCAAGAAACCAAACAACAAAACATGGATATTTCTGTGCCTTGATATTGAAAGCTATTAAAGCTTGACAATGGTCACACCTGAACAGTATCGAGGTCCCTGTTCTCGTTCCCTTGCCTGGGATTAAGATGACTCTCAGTTCCAGGCCAACAGATCTCAGACTTTCTTGGACTGCCCACTTGGGACTGTCCTAAGCTGCTGGAAAGCACAAAAGTGAGAGCAGCAAGAAGTAGCACAACAAACTGCGGGTGAGGGAAGTGGGGCTTGGGGGGGATTAGGGGATATTTCATGGATGGGGCATTGAAGCTGGTCCTGGTGTTGGCTGTCTCTGGTGGGGAGTGAGGCAGCGCTGGGAGCCAGCAAGTGAGACAGGTGTGCGTGTGAACACGAACACACCTGTCAGGCACTGCGAGGCCAGCAGACGAGGGCAACAGGGAATGGATCTGGAAGAGTCACAAACCACACTCAGGGGAGCTGAAAGGCCTTGTTATGCATTCAGGGATCAACAAGAAGTTTKGGGACTCATGATTTTTACCCCTGCTTCAGGAGGCTCTCCCAGGCTGCCCTGGGAACATTCAGGGCAGATGTTCCTTATCACCATCTTCTGTGAGCCACAAAAGCATGCACCTCTGAGAAGCAAAAATGAACTCAAACTCAGAAYCAGTTTCCTCTACTAAACCCTAACAACATCCTTCTGATATCAAGCAAGCCATGGTGCAACTGCAGGCTCCAGCGCAATGGCCTTCAATTCAGTTCTGACCCCGTCTACCTGGAGGTATCATCAGATGCCACGGGTTGAGGACTCAGTCCCACAAACCTGCTCCCTACCCAACTTCAGATACTATTCACCAGTCTCCCAGGTCATTTTACCTATTTCTGATGAACTAGCTATGAGTTGGGATTCTTGATAACCACCTCTTTGGATTCAGTTAATTTGCTCGAGTGGCTCACAGAACTCAGGGAAACACTACCTTGACTATTGATTATACAGGGTATTACAAAGGATACCAAGAGATGCATAGGCAAGGTAGGGGAGAGGGGGTATGGAGTTTCCATACCCTCTCTGGGCACACCCATCCTCTAGGAACCATCTGGAAGTTTTTCAAACTCTGTCCTTTTGTGTTTTTWTGGGGACTTCATTGCAAAGCCATGACTGAAACATGAACACAAAGGATATGAYCTGTCTGTTCAGATCTTCAGCATTTCTTCCTAAGAGGTATGGGGCAGGACCCTTTTCTGAAATGGGAGTGTTTTAGTTGGATTTTGCATTGCTGTGACCAAAATACCCAACAAGAGCAACTTAGAGGAGGAAGAGTTTATTGGGGGCTCACAGTTTCAGAGGTTTCAGTCCGTAGATGGCAGGCTCCATTCCCCTGGGCTCAAGGTGAAGCAGGTATCATGGGAGAAGGGCCCAGCAGAAGAAAGCTGCACAGGCATGTCCCCAGTCACCTACTTCCTTCAGCCACACGCCACCTGCCTACAGTTACCAATCTAATCAGTGGATCGGTTGATCAGTTTACAGCTCTCCTAATCTGATCATTTCGTCTCTGAACATTCTTGCATTTTTTTTTTCACCCATGAGCTTTTGGGGAACACTTCAAATCTGAACCCTAATAGAGGGGGCTTATCATCTACTATCAAGCAAAATAGATCAGAAAATTTAAGGTTAGAGTTTCAATGGCTTGCCTTGGGAAGAAAAAGGAGTAGGTGAAAGGAGGGCAGGAGATGGTTAGAGAGACTTTGCTTTGTGAGGCCTGCCTCTGAGGCCTAAATGCCCTGACATCGATCGAGTCACTTAGGAAATAACAAGGGCTATGGTAGTAGTGGTCCAGGGACTGTGGACGGAAATCAAAGAAAAATATACAGATGACATGATATCAACACTTCCCCAGACTGATTCCCACTCAAACCTTGGGAGCCCCTAAGTACCTCCATAATACCCACTGGGCTCTGCAGAGGTAAGATAAATTTGTGACCATACATCCATGGAGCACACTGGCCCCATTAGCAGCCATGAGCCAAGRGCCAGACTCTTTTTTTTTTTTTTGACAGTTATTTTTTTAATTATTAGTTGTTCAAAACATTACAAAGCTCTTGACATATCATATTTCATACATTTGATTCAAGCAGATTATGAACTCCCAT